ACAAGGCTGCTCAAACTACAGCAGCTGGACTTGGAAACTCTCTGTCATCCACCGTATTCACCAGACCTTGCACCAGCTGAATACCACTTCTTCCAGGCTTTGAACCACTTCTTGAAAGGAAAAATATTCAATTCTCAACAAGCCGTGGAAAATGCCTTTCGTGATTTCATCACCACTCACTCTCCAGGCTTCATAGCTGCTGGCATAAGCAAGCTATGGTTAACATGGCAACACTGTGTCAATAGTTTGGGCATATACTTTGATTAATTGAACATCTTCTTGTTTGAGATACAATAAACTAAAGTTTTGATTTGAAATCGGACATTTCATATTTAATGACCTACTGGCAGTAGAAATCTACTTTTTTCCTTGTAGTAGGGTATGCTCTAGAATTCATTTTCTCAGGTTCTTTCAAAATATTTTGTGAGGAAAACAATCTTTATGAAGATTTCCTGAAAGATATACATAACATCTGCTTCGCTGGAAATTTTAAGATTCACCTCGAAATCACCTCTAAATCACATTCCCCAAAGAAAATCTTTAACTTTACTGCCTTGTATTACCTACTCCTAGAATTGCTTTTACTAATTATGTTGCTCTATCAGCCTATACTTATTAGTTATTTATACCATAAAAATCAATAGCTAATTGTGAGAATGAGTTTTAAGATGTTCATCACATAATGGAAAGTCTTTTTCTATGAGCAAAGAGCCGAATTTCTTATCTCAGGACAGGAAATTATCTAGTTTTGTATTTTTTTTTTTTTTTTACTTTATAGACTGTAACAAGAATTTTAAAAACATGATAGAGCATCCCTATTTCCCCCTAGCTTTCTACTTTTGCCCTGCAATTTTTCTGGTCTTGCTACCTACCTTCCCTATTCTGTGAAATTTGAGTAGCTGATAAAACATATGGCTTGCAAGAACAATACTGATCTGATGGTTTTTAGGCTTGTACCAACCAAACCAAGTGAGGCTCACCCCCAAACATGAGTTTTCATTAAGGTTAAATATTGCTGCCCAATTTAAACTTGCAAAATCAATTACTCGTTGTTTTCCATCCTTTAAAAGAAAAATGCTCATAACATTTCTTCAATTGAGGAGCCACTGTGCTCTTCAAATGCCTCCTGAGGCTAGTCAACTGAATAGATTCTTCAATCTCTAAGTCACATAAATAGTTTTCTTTTAACAAGTCACTGTGAAATTTGTAACTGATAATATTTTTTCCATGTTAGTTGTCAGAAAACTAGAAAGCCAAAATTGCAGTCTCACCATTTTATCATTTTGTCTATTAATGGCAGTATTTGTTCCTCATTAAATTTCCATGCTTATATTCTGTTTGCCTAATCCTCATAAATAATATTTGCTCACTATATTGCATATACCTTTAAAAGTTTCTCAAACTATTTAGAACCAATGAGGTTTAGAGAAAGACATAGTGGAAAAGAAAGATTCATTTATTGTTTGTGGAACTTTTGTCAATTCTATTCATTTGCTTAATTTATTACTTTATTTAAATAGAACAGTGACTCTCCATACACCAGCACCATTCTATAATGGAGCTTTCTAAAGTTTTAATAAAGGTAAATTTATTCTTGTTCTTGTTTTGAATCTGGTATATATGCTACTTAGAATCATCACCAGAGACAAGTAGGGAACTTGGACTTAATGGGAAGAGTTTATTATTATATAGTTCTATTTTGTGTTTTCTTTTTAGAGTCAAGACTAGCAAGTTCACTCTAAGCATTACCACTATTAATATTATTATTATCAATAATCACAAATTTGATCTTGTAGCAATCAATAGCACATCTTTCTGATTTTCTACATAAAACATCTGTATCACTTCAATGTTTCTGCTCCTGAATATATTCAGATCCTCAAGGAAAAAAGATTTAGTAATTGACTTATTTATGCCCTGTTTTCAATTGATATGTGTACATGCAATATGAAAGCCAAGGAAAATAAAATGTTTACAAACACAAAACAAAACCAAAACTGAATTCAAAATCCCCATATACAAAAGATGGCGGACGAATAACACCGCCAGACAGAGGGTCTCTGCAGAAAAGACCGATTCTAGCAGAAACTAGAGGAAAGAAGCAAGAAGACGAGCATACAGCGGACAAGGGCCGGAAGGAGGGGTACCTGAGACCCCGGGAGACTCCACGGGAGGAGGCTGCGGAGGAG